GACCCCTCAAAATTTGAAGTACGAACAGCTATTCGGCAATTATTGCCTTTAGGAAAAGTGTCAGCACTGTCAGGTATAGATGGCATACCTACTGAACTTATATCAATGCTCTTCATCTCTTGTTCCTGAAATTATCGAACTCATGGCTGCCTTATCACAAGGACAAACTATATGCCTCGCACACATGCACAGGGAATTCTCACTGAGTCTCTTGTTCATAAGAAAAGTGCAAAAACACAGATACAGAATAAGAGGCCAATTACATTAACTATATCTACGTACAAAGCTGTATCTAAAATGTTGGCAAACTGTATTCAAAGCGTCTTGTCTGATTTTATTCAAGCAGATCAGACTGGTTTTCTACAGGGGCACCAAATTTTAGACAGTGTCACCGTAATTGCGGTCTGCCAAGGAATGGTGTACATCAATCGCACTAAAAAGAGTCAGTGGGTGATACTTCTCCTTGACTTCGAAAAAGCCTTTTTTTTTTTTTCCACACAAAAAAGCTCCATCTATTGGTGGGGAGCAGCACCTGCTGGAAACCGGGTCCAGTGTCCCATAGATACAACCAAAACTTCACAAATTGGCACAAACTGGGAACCGGGCCCAGCGTCCCATGACAAGTATATTCAGAAAACTTCATCAGAAAATTTCATGAAAATGAGACAAGGAACTACTAGAAAAATCTAATTGGCCTAAAGATGGAAATTTAGAATTGAGATGCCGGGGCCTGGGGCCACTATCCGGCTTTGGCTCAAAATTGGAGCTACTTCAGACATGAAAAAGGCTACAACCGTGTTAACTTCCATCATAGACCAAAATCCAAACAATTTTGCTCCTGCTACTTCAACGTCTTAACTTTGGACCGGTAAGTATAACTTGTGTGAAAGCACTATTTACGGGCGCTACCACCAGATTGGCAGATTGTATGCTAATGGCCCAGACTTACACTGGCAAATCAAAGCTCTCCTTGCTAATTGACCGCTTCGGTTTTTGTTTGCAGATGATTATGCTACTTGGAAAGTACTTGCATATTTCTTGCTTCCACACGACTTTGGGCTTTTGTCCATTCCTCGTATTGTTTATTTAACACTGTTTACCAATTTTTATTGCAGAGAAATGGCGATTTCCCCTATCTGAAAGAACATGTTGGTTGCTTGGCGAGTGGTTCGTCCGCTCAATAAAGCTCCAGTGCTTAAATATGATAGACTGTTGTCGCAACCTATATTTCGTAATCCTTGCGTACTAGCTGGTGGCCTTCCCTCTAACATTTGGACACAGTTGGTTATCCCATGGTGTTGCCACTTCGGCTCTTTTTTTTTTTTTCGGTGGGGGGGGGGGGGGGGGGGGATGACACAAATTCTAAGTGGAAAAATGATGAATATTAAATACAGCCAATTTTACGTGGACTTCAAAACTGCAAGACATTATAGCAGCACTGCCTGTAGCGACTTGAAACACCGCTCACTGCCACAAAATGGGAGATGACTAGCTGGGTAGCTACAGATGGGTACAAAGGACTCGGCTCTCCTCTTAGGAGACTCCCTCACACCTCTATTTGCTTTCGTATTACACACATGAGTACAGTGTCCTTAAACAACAAAAGGGATCAGGAACAAGATAACGACCCTATAGACTTTTCAATCCAGCGAAGGATCTCATGATTGACCCAAGAGACTGGTATTGGCTAGACAATCGTAACCCTGACAATACTTTCTCCCTCACACGTCATACTGCTAAGATAGCATACTCTATGTTGCTACAAGATGTCAATGACCGACAAATTATCATGAAGTGGAGAAAACTTGGTACTCACTCCAGCCACACGACTGCTGACTTGCTAGTAGTTGCCAAACATGCTGGGTCGCTTCAGCTTATTCTTCATAATGCACTTCCTACAGCAGCTTTCCTGTATCGACGTTGGAAGAAAGGGTCACATTTCTGTACTGCGTGCTCAGCTCTTCACACGATGGAAGGACCAACAACATTAACGGGTCACTTAGTGCCAACAACCGTGTTGTGTGGATGCTATTTAAGACAAATTCTCCTATTCCTGCTCATTGGGGTGATATTTGGTCACAAGAGAAAATTATGCTGGGCAGCGTGCGACTCTCTCTCTCCAGATCGCAATGCGACTCGTCCTCTTCAAATTGCAATTCTATGTGTTTGAGTCTTTCAGGGCTAAAGTATTGAGGCATTTATGGCGTCAGAGTAACAATAAAGTATTGAGGCATTTATGGCGTCAGAGAAACAATGTTGTGAGATCAAACTACTCTCCCTCAACACAACAGGTGTTGTATCTGTGAGTCAATGCGACTAATCTGCTGTCGGAACTCCAGTCTAGAAAATGGGGTCAGAGTTCGCTGAAATTTCACACACTTCGCGCAGCAGGCAACTTGAAGAGCCAGCGTCCTACACAACTGTTCGAGCATCTTGTGGCCCGTGCAAAATCAATCGGAGCTTGTGGGCTAGTTCACAAGTTATCTGGAGGGTGCCAACTTCCTTCCGAATGGCCCAGATACAAATTGGACTTGGAGAACTAGCCCCCCTAAGGGCCCTACCCCCCCCCCCCCCCCCCCCCCCCCCCCCCCCCCCCCCCCCCCCCCCCCCCCCCCCCCCCCCCCCCCCGTCCATGGGTAACCTATCTCCAATGTCCTCCCTCCCCGAGCTTGTGGGACTGGTGGTAGCACTGCCAGGCACTATAGAGAGTGTTTATCATAAGAGATTCTGTTTGCGCCGTGGAAAGGATTACATCTGGCTTCCTAGCGGACAACCTATATCGAAGTGGGCAGACAATCACCTCAAGATTATTGAGGTGAGGCAATACAGACATCGAAACATGTGGGGTTGGTTGCACTCCTGACTGTGTATCCAAACTTGGAACTTCAAGTTAGACTTGAAACTGCAGCTTGGAACTCAGACATGAGTTCCAGAACTTGGAAGAGTTGGAACTTGGAACTCAGAGCTTGTAACTCAGAACTTGGAACTCAGAACTTGGAAGAGTTTGAACTTGGAACTTCAATAGTTGGAACTTGGACACTGCAGCCATGGTACACCTGCAACCTATGAGTAGAGGATTGGGTCCTCAACAGTCTACATTGAGGTGACTCCTGCTGAGGCGATGGATGGATAAAATCATTAGCCTTATGATATGTATTATGTCATGCTCATGTCATCTTCTTCATATACATTATATCTTCTCACCCTCACAACAAGCATAAGAGAGTTTGTTTGGCTGGTGAGCAGGGGGGAGGGGTATCCCTTAAAACCGACGAAGAACTAAATGCTACCATCTTCCCCCTGAGAAGTAAGGCAGCCTTTTTCAACAATGAAAAAAAAGTTACTAAACCACAAGTACTTCCTAGAGTCATGCCCGTTAACGCGCCACGATTTTAGGTGACATACAGGCTACTACAGCAGCTCCCAAATTCATCCGACTAGAAACGTTTCTAGTCTATTTTTTTCCGCAGCCCATAGCTGGGCCAAGTACTGGTGGTTTAAATGTTCATTTGCAACCTTGGGAAGGGTTTAAGAACGCAATTCGGGACCCCATCCTAAGGACCCACCTCTTTGCACAACCAGCAGACTATGGCAAGTGAAGAGGAGATGAAGAAAAGATATTCTTCGGTAACTTCTGTACCTACAAGGCTACAAACCAATTAAGAGAAACCACCGAGCAACATCAATTGGTCAGTTTCCAACTAAGCTGTAGTGTAGTTGTGGGATCAGACTTGTAACTGGGATGTAGTGTATTTGTGGGATCAGACTTAGGGTTAGGGTCTGATCCCACCACTGCACTACGACTGTAGTCTCCAAAAAGCACTACAAAGATGTCAGCGGCCGTGGCGGGACGAAAAAGAAAAATTGGATCCCACCAGGGCGACTTCTTCGGTGCTTTTCCTGAACCCGCCGCGGTTCTTTGTGGGCTGTTGCAGAGGGCAGCCAATCGAAATGCTGCAAAACGGAGGGAAAAAAAAAAAAAAAAAAAAAATTGCTCCCTCTTTTTCACTGCAGAGATGCCCTCACGGTCTACACAAATTGTAGCAACTACACTTACCCCTTCACTGTGCTGCCACGACGCATACAAACGAAAGTAGGACAAAATATTTTGGCGGCCGCAACAAAGTTGAAAAGTGGTGGGATCCAAAAACTACAGTGTAACTGGGCTGTAGTGTAGTAGTAGGATCAGGCCACTAGGTCTGATCCCACAACTACACTACAGCCCAGTTACAGTGTAGTTTTCGGATCCCACCACTTTCCAACGTCGTCGTGGCCGCCGAAATATTCTGCCCTACTTTCGTTTGGGTGTGTCTTGGCAGCACGTCCGCAAAGGGTGCAAGCGTAGTTACTACAATTTTTCTGTAGACCGTGAGAGCATCTCTACAGTGAAAAAGAGGGAGCAATTTTTTTATTTTTATTTTTTTATTTGGTTTGTTTGCAGCAACAGGAATGTCCATAGACCACACTGTTGTGTGGCATTTCGGTTAGCAAAACCTTCAGCCCTCTGCAACAGCCCACCAATAACCGCCGCGGGTCCAGGACAACCACCGAAGAAGTCTCCCTCGTGGGATCCAGTTTCTCTTTTTCATCCCGCCATCACCGCTGACATCTTTGTAGTGCTTTTTCGCGACTACAGTCGTAGTGTAGTCGTGGGATCAGACCACTAGGTATAGACACTCCCGCATTGACGCTTCCACAGGTAATGAACCAACATCAATATCATGTCCATATGGGTCATCCCATTAACAGAATCTAATCAAAATACGCACAACGTCACACCTATCTATTCCTTTTTTTTTTTGTCAACGGGACTCCAACCTAATTGAACCTCTAGCAAGTTCTCGCACAACAGACGTAGAAAAAAAAAAAAAAAAAAAGAACAGAAGACAATTAGCTACCTCAGATTTCTCTGTTTATCCGCCAAAGCGCGTCTAATGAAGATGGGCACGATCCATCAAACTCAACGTACCAAGTTTACCAACCATCATCTTCCCCCAACACGACGCATGGGAATTGTTCTGCACCTGGTGCGACTCTCGAGCCAGATACATCATTCCCATTGTCAAGCGTCCTCACGGGGATCTGTTTTAACCTGTGCTCCTATGTATGTAGCCTAAATTTGTAACTACGTGCTAAAATAAACCGCTCCAAAATTGTACGAGACCATCAAACGGCACACTACGCTCCGCCGGTGGGCAGAACACAAAAGTCCTGCAATACTACAGTGTAGTGGCATTTCTTAATATTTTATTATCCTTCGCACTGCGAGCGCCTGACTGTATGTAGACTGCATCTGTATCTACATGCTCGTAGGATCCGTCTACCTCCGACCGCCTTTGCGGCCAAATTCAGTCCAGCGATAGAGTGCCTGTCGCCACGCCCGGCCAAATTCAGTCTATATAGAAGGTAAGCCTTTCCTCACGTACAGGTGTAGACACTGTATGTAGACCTGACCTGCATCTAGATGCTTGCATGACTCTTATCAGTTTGACCGCCTGTGAATGTCATCACGTGAAGTCGTCACGTAAAAATCCATCCTACCAACTCGATTTTTCTATCCACCACGGTTAGTCAGTGAGCCCCGCTCCACTACTCACCAAATGCACAAAATGTGAACGAATCTTCCGCCACAACATGGAAATATACACTGCCATTTTTTTTTTCTTCTCTGCATGTGGTCACGACCGAGGCCCATTGACCATGCACATGCATCTCTCCCAGTCTCTTGTCTTCTTTCAAACTCGTGAACTCTCTCTTCTTCTTTCATACCCCACCTCCGCTCCCATTTCGGCTTTCCCTGCTATTACACCATCACCACGGCCTCCTGAAAACGCACTCCATCCGCCTGCGTGGAACACAACACCAAAGAACGCCACTGTCATCATCAGGCCGTCAATCCGTTCAGCGAATTGAAGAAGGACGATCCTCCTGTTGACTCTGATAACCAACCACTGGCAGAAGGGCGTCGATCGGTTGGTTATTTGCACTTTACATCCTTCAAAAGCACCATCACCTTTGGAGTTCTTTACTCCAGCTTCGTTCTTCTCTCGATGAAATATGACATACCTACCGTCGCCACTCGAATAGAACGCAGGGTCATTAGCGCTGAGAATCTAGACGGAAAGGGGCGCAAATACATCGTAATGAACGTGCATGCTCCTCTGATTGAGACAGTAAGCATCGCGCTCCGTGCCCAAAAAAAAAAACACATAAAAAAAAAGCCTCAAGCTCAAACATCGTAATGAACGTGCAACGTCGTGCATGCTCCTCTGATTGAGACAGTAAACTTGCTCCTTGCCCCCACAAGAAAAAAAAAGAAAAGCTCAAGCTCAAAATAGAACAGAATGACCGTGCGCTCTATGTGGGGGAAGAAAACCTTAGAAGGCAGGGCCACAGGTCCGTTCAATTGTCTTCTGTTCAATTGTTTTGCGGAGCCCGCAGTGGAGCCGGGTGCATTCTGGAGGAGTCCGCCCACTACGTTATACTCGACCAAGGAAAAAAGGATGTGTGTACCCGTTTTTTGACCCCTCCTTTCAATCATCTAGCCGAACTATTCGTTTTCCCCCAAACACAACGCACCCTCCTTTTGACTGTATGGAACCCAACACGTCGCTTGTATACATTCGTAATCAGGGTGCGTTGTGTTCGGTGGGAGACGGTAATCGACGTACTAATGCGAAGTTGCGAACGATCTTTTTATTTCCAGTCGCTAATTTTTATTTTTAGTCGCCTCCGGACTTCACTCCAATATTGATGACGTCCGTCTTTATTTATCGGTCGATTGGCACGGTGATGGTGAGCACTCCATCTCTGAAATCTGCCGTAATCTTTTGCGGCTTCGCATCGTCTGGCAGATCAAAGTTGAGCGAGCAACTACCCTTGGCCTCTGAATGATCGTTTGGGGTTATCTTCAGTCACTAATTCTCTAGTCGCCTCCGGACTTCACTTCAATATTGATGACGTTCCTCTTTATTTCTTGGTCGATTGGCACGGTGATGGTGAGCACTCCATATCTCAAATCTGCGGTAATATTCTCCGGCTTCGCATCGTCTGGCAGGTCTAAGTTGAGCGAGCAGTACCTCGCCTCAGAGGGATCCTTTGGATCGTCAATATGCTGACCTTCAATAACGAGAACATCATCTTCGACTCGGACTTGAACATCGTCCTTGCTGAAACCGGGGATGTCCACCTTTGCCACGTAGGCATTATCCGTTTGTCGGATATCCACATCTTCGTCCATCCATGAAGGATCTAAAAATAGATTGCCCCGCCAGCGTCCGAAATCATCTAGCCAATCCAAGAGTAGCAGCAAGGAGGATGTCGGTGCCATCCATGGGGTGATTGACGTGCGACCTGCAAACAAGGACAAATCAAAAAAGGCCACATGTTGTCGATGCCATCCATGGGGTGATGGAAGCAGCACCTGCGAACAGCAACCAAAAAAAAAAAAAAAAAATGCCACACGTTCCCAATTCAGCAACACAGCCCGGCAGCTGTCACCCTCCCCCCCCCCCTCTCTCGTCCTCCACGACAAAAAGAAGACAAAACGTGTCGCACGTCCTTTTTGTTTTCCCTTTATATCAAAAATTTTCGGACAGAATTTCTTCCCTTTTCGAAATTTTCGTACAGACAATTCAAGCCATGTGAATACAAGCTGTAGCTAACTCCGATAAAGAAATATGAGAAGAGAAAAAAAAGCTGTAGCTAATACCCAAGGCATCAAAGACTTATTTCTACGGGATCCCAAAACCACCAACCGCCCCAACCTAGCTCATGATAGGCCCACCAACTTCCCAGCAGTATTCCTACAGAGAAGGGCCAGTTGCAGGACTCGTGTTTTTTTTTTTTTTCTTTTTTTTTTTTACTGTGGTAAATCAGTAGAGCGGTTTGATATTTGGTCATTTCTGTAATTTTCTGCCTGGAGTGTACCTCCCCAGCGACTGGACCTAATCTGGGAGATCGTCCCAGCGGTTCTTCCGGGTTGTTTGTGGAGGAACCCCCGGCCTCTCCCTTTTTTGTGAGTAATGAAATGCCAAAAAAAAACAAGGGCCAGTTGGCTATATATTCGAGTCGGTGGAGACCCTCTACTCTCCTGTCGACTGAATCGCTAATTTGACAGGGAAAACGATATCGAATGCTCCAAACTTTGCGGACTTAACCATTCTGCAAAAACATTTCGACAGTAAAGACATTCGGTGCACTATTCTCCAGGACCTTCAACATTTCGACCGTGAAAGTATTAATGCATCTGTTTTCTGCCCAGGCTGAACTCTCTATACGGCAATTACCTCCGCTCTCTATCTCGGTGCTGGAAAACTAAACACTCTAGCAACGTGCTTTTTTATTTAGCAACGTGCTTTTTTATCGAGTTCTATGCGCACGTGAAAACACACACACACACACACACACACACACACACACACGCGCGCGCGCGCGCGCGCGCGCAACGTCCTTTGATATCGAGTTCTATGCGCCGTCCTTTGATATCGAGTTCTATGCGCATGTGAAAACACACACACACACAAACACACACACACACACACACACACACACACACACACACACACACACACACGCAACGTCCTTTTTTATCGAGTTCTATGCGCACGTGAAAACACACACACACACACACACACACACACACACACACACACACACACGCACAACGCACTGACGCACGCACATGCATGAAGATCATTACTCATCACTGCGCCCCATCTCCCTGAGCTCGGTAAGATGCAAACATCCACTATTGTCCGGTCAACAAGGTTGACCTGGTCAAATGAAAACTCCGCTATTGTCCGGTCAACAAGGTTGACCTGATCAAATGAACATCCAAGGTCGGGAGAGGATCCTCCGCAGACATGAGAGCCCTTCATAAGCTCGCCTTGAGGGTAGTAAGCGATCATATGCATCAGAGCAGGACATGACTTGAGCTCATTCAATACCAAACACAAGAATTAGTAATCGCTTACCAATACCGCCAGACGGGAAAGACAGAGATGTACTTGACCCGCCCAGAGCTTGTCCACCTCGGTCGCCCCTGACCAGAGAAGTACCTCCTCCACCACGTCCACCGCTCTCCACAGAGCTTGTTCTCGAGACGTCGACTCTATCGCTTTCTTCCCCTGCGGACTGCACCATCCCTACAATCCCAGCATTCTTCTCGGCAGCGCTGCCAGGGTTGAACTCCTCACCCGGATTCGACTGCTTACCGGGATTTGAATGATGGCCAGGATTGGAGAGACTACCGGTAGCAAATCCCGACTCCCCAGAGTGTGAACTACTTGGATTAGCTTGCCCGGCTCGGTTATGGTTATGGTTATCCTTCTTCTTGTCATCTGAGTGGGCAACTCCTCTCCTTTTGTCGGACGTCTTCTCACTGCTCTTCTTCGTCTCATGTTCCTCTTCGTCCTCGCTAGAATCACTCGATTCACTAGAAGAAGAGGAAGTCTCCTCTTCCTCCTTTTTCTCCTTCACGGCCGCCTTATGTTTCTCTTCGTCTTCCTTCTTCGCAGCCTTCTCTTTGTCCTTTTCTTCCCTCTTAGCAGCCTTGTCTTTCTCCTCTTCTTCCTTCTTGGCATCCTTGTCTTTCTCCTGCTCCTTTGCCTCTAGCCCTGCAGCGGCTGAGGTGTCAAGACCCGAGTGCCCGCCTACAGCGCCAGAGGTAGGCGGAAGCCCATCGCCTCCAGGAAGACCAGAAATGGCCTCAACTCGCAGCGTGAACAGCTGCCTCTCTGGAAAGACTCCCTCTGATCCTACACAGGGAGGCCATGCTAGCCGACTACTCGTCCGGATGTCACCTCCACACAACGACCCCCTCCCATGTTTCCAGTCTTTGAACCGACTCTGACGCTCTCTTCCACCGCGGCGACTGCGATGTCGGGCTCCAGTGCAGACCCCCACCCGACTCGGCGAAGAGCGCAGCACGGACCTCGACTCGTTGAGGTCAACGACATGCATAACTCGGCTAACCTGGTCGGCACCAGGAAGACGACAAGGTCGAAGACGACAGAACCCCGCCATCGCCAGTGATTCCGTCATCGGTAATGCCGATGGCGATGCTACTACACAAGCGCGCACTGCCTGCATTTTTTCTGCTTGATGCCCTGCCTGCGCCTTTACCCCTTCGGCCTGGCGAACAGACGGCGACGCGTTGACCTCCACCCACGGCTCTAAGTCATAAGTCACCTTTCATACCTCATTACCTCTAGATATCTCTTCGCCACCCACTCTGAGTCCCCGGCCAGCCGGTGAAGTCGGCTTTATAAGGAGCCTCGTCCCCGCGACTCAACTACGACAGCGGCCGGAACGCATTCGTGTTATTAGTTTGGCGCCCAACGATTTCGCGTCCGACTTGGCGTCCAACGCTTCCTTGTCCCATTAGGCGCCAACCAGTCCTGCACGTCTACCGTCTTCACCCGAATAGAAAGCCCGGTCATTATGGCTGCATCTAGACTGAAAGTTGCCCCAAATACGGCGATAATGACCGGGCCCCAAAGACGGCGATGATAACCGGGCGTTCTATTCGGGTGAGGACGGCAGTCACCGCTAGTCGCCTCCCTCGACAAATTGGGCCAGATCCCACTGGCAAAGAGGATTGGAAGAAATGTCTGAATCTGGACGTGTTCCACGCAGAGGTGCAGAAAAGTAGATCAATCACAATTTTTTGCACCTTTCCACAAACACGTCAAGATTCAGACATTTCTTCCAACACTCTTTGCCAGTGGGGTGTGGCCCAAAGCCTCACCTGTCTCAACATCCGCCGCCTCACTCGACAAATTATACAACTGTACAACTGTACTGAGCACCAACGTATCTGCTCGACTTCAACACTTCTGTTCTGCTCGACGTTCTCCGCCGTCATCCCTTTACCTGCACCCCTTTACTGCTCCCTTCAAGTCTTCTCTCCCTATTGCTCTAATCCTTCATCTGTCATCATTTCTTTTATACCATTTCTCAGCGTTCGAAACGTGCACAGTGTCATCTTAGTGTAGTTATGTAGCTTGTTTAACAGCCTTCATTTAGGCAGGGATATAGGCCATTAGCGTCTTACCTGAATATGCTCTATATGCTCTGAGTTTTCCCGGTTCCTATTTTGGTGCCGTAAAAAGCGAAACTGGCTAATGCCAGAAGTGGCGATACCGGGTTGAGTTGTGGGGACCCCGGCCCCGTTTTTCTGAATTCAAACAAAGACAATTCTTCAAAAAAAAAAAAACAAAAAAAAAAACACACTTCTGCTCGACTTCAACACTTCTGTTCTGCTCGACTACAGTAAAGCTTCACCACAGACAGCATCCCCATGCCTCACGATCATCACCGATCCGGGAACTTTCGACCATTACCCTTCCTCTGCTCCCGTCTTTTACCAGAAGAATGGAACGCACGGTCATTATCGCTATATCTTAGCCTGGAAGTTTCCCCAAACACAAGTACAATGACCTAGCGTTGTATTCGGGGCACCAGGATATCAACAGCTTCCACATGTACCCGACGCACGATGAATCTTTTTTTTTCTTTTTTTTAAACAGTCTACCCGGGTGAACCATGAACAACCAGAGATAAAATGCCTGGGAGCCTTATCCAGCGTTCGCTCTTTACGGGACCTCTTAGGACCCGGCTGACCACCTCGCTTCGAAAATCCTACTGCTGAAAAAAGACCAAAATGCTAGGCTTGCCATTCTTACTTCAGAATTCTACGATTACTAACACTACTTCAGCGGGGAGGATTACCAGCCTTACATTCTATCGACCACTCCAAGAGCTTATGCGATACAGAAGAAACTGTGTACCGCGCACAGCGCGGAGGCGCAGCCTGGAGGGGGGGGAGGAAAAAGAGAGCCCTAGACGTCCGTCAGAACGCATTACAATGGTCTGCCGGCCGTGAGGAGGACAGCTTTGGTGCGAAGGGTTTTGGGCATTTTTTTTCAGAGGGATAAATTGCAAAACACCCCCGAAGTTGAGATATATGCCAAAATTCCCCTAAAAGATGTGGGTAGAGCGGAATGCCCCTCTGACAAAAAGCAAAATTTGTGAAATACCCCTAGCATCGCTTGGACCCCCATCTTTGCAATGGTAGGTACCGCGTACCGTCCAACTTTGCAAAATGCCCCAGTACTTGCCAACTTTTCGTAGGTGCTACTGCAAAAGGCCAAGGCCCAAACGGGGAGGTCCAGATTGCAAAGTTGCACACCCGCCTGACAGGGGCACAACGCAAACATTTCGGCCCAAAAGGGCATTCCGCTCTACCCATATCTTTCAGGGGCATTTTGGCCTATATATCAGCTTACGGGGGTATTTTGCAAATTATCCCTTTTCATAAAACATTTTATGTAGGTGGTTAGTTGAGCAAGATGCAAGATGAAACGGCAGGTGTTTTTTTCTCATGTTTTCCAGTACTTAGCAGAGGCCCAAAAGGGAAAAAACATGGTGGTAATCCAGCGGCCTAGCTCAATTGGTAAGGCACGCAAGTGGCATTCAGGAGGTCTTGGGTTCAATCCCCATTGGCCTCATGTACCTTCCTGGGCAAGCTTGGCGCCCGCCACCTAGAGATATGCCGTTGGTCCCCCGAGTGGCATTGCGCAGAGACTGCTGATGCTCATAGGGGGAGGGGACCGGAGGGGAGGCACAGTGACTGGCCCATCGAAGAAGCTCGGTCCTGATGCTACCAGCCGACCCCTGGCCAGTATCGCCCACCTGCTGTAGCAGGTATCACACCTGCTGGTGGGTGCAGCTCCCGCATGTTCCCTCGTTTGGAGGCTTGAGCAGGGATGTGGCTGCTACGGGGTTCCCCGTAATACTATAACAACAATAAAAAAAGGTCTGAAAGGCCGCCCTGTCTAGATTCGACAGGTAATTGAATTGGCTGGAATTAGCCTTTATATAAAAAAAAATAAAAAAATAAAAAAAATAAAAAAAATGGTGGTGTATCTTCCCATGTTTAACCGGAAGATTCATTCTCATTTTGCATATTTGGTGAGTAGTGGAGCGAGGTCCATAATCGTCGGTTTTGGGGCCAAAGCATATGGGCCTCGCTCCACTACACCAACGGCTACATGCATTTGGCTGGCTGCGCTAGCACAAAGTGAGTGTGTGTGTGCGTGTTTGTGTGTGTGTGAGAGAGAGAGGGGGGAGGGGGCTCTGTAGGGCGGAACATATTTTCTGTTGTTGGATGTAGAGATATTTTCTCTTGCAACATTGGCAAGTAGGATTGTCCGAGATGTCATGTCATGGGTCACGCACGTGAGCAGATGTGTATTNTTGGATGTAGAGATATTTTCTCTTGCAACATTGGCAAGTAGGATTGTCCGAGATGTCATGTCATGGGTCACGCACGTGAGCAGATGTGTATTGCATGGCATGCAATGGCATGTGACATGTGACATGCTTGTTCCAGGGCATGTCGACCTTGTTCAATGTTCATAAACATGGTCTTGTTATAGCGCACTAAGAAAGGGCATGAGCTCAGTGCAACTTCTTCCAATGTGTTAAGAGCATTGCAGGGCGAAGGTGTCAAAGATTAAGCATGTTATAGGGCCTCGCCACAAATGCAAAAAAGACAAAAATCCGGCGGGTGCATCTGGCCATGTTGTTACAATATAAGCGGAAGGAAAAGAGAGAGAGAGAGTGAGTGAAATAAAATAGAAAAGAAAAAGAAGGAAGAGAGAGAGAGAGAGAGAGAGAGAGAGAGCAAAAGACAGAAAGAGAGCGTGACCAACTAGGTTACCAGCCGGGCCGCCCAGGTCACCCTATTTTCCCGGGCGGCCCGGGCGTGCAAGGACTAGGGAAGGTCCCAGCCAAAAAAAAATTAAAATTTAAAAATCCAAAAAATCCGAAAACAAACTATGTTATGCAGAAAAATAAACGGAACTACTTTTGCCTCAGGGTCACATCGAAATTCTTTACCGAATTTAAAATAAAAAAATAATTAAAAAAATAATTTTTATTTTTTTTATTTTACTTTTTCTTTTTGGCCCGACCGGGCAAGTGGACCTGGGCCACTCTTGTAGCCTAGGTGACCAACATTTTTTTCCATTTTCTTTTTTTTTTAATTAGGACCATTTCTTCATTTATGCGTGTCATCCTTGCGCAGGGGCCATGCTTATCTTCTATGTATCATTCCAATTTTAAAGGATGTCCCAAAGGACGCGACCAACACTTGCAAGCCACCAAGAACCGAAAATCACTGATCGCAAACCCACTTAGATCATCACAGGTTGTACGCCCCCGCACACGGATCTTTCCCTCCTTTCATCTCTGTTTCTTGTTTTTTTCCCGCCTGCTTATAGACAAATTCACGGTCAAATTCATGAATTTTGTTTTATTGTTTTTCACCCGCCTGCTTATGGACAGATTCACAGTGGAATTCACGAGAGAGAGAGGGAGAGAGAGAGAGAGAAAGAGAGAGAGAGAGAGAGAGAGAGAGAGAGAGAGAGAGAGAGAGAGAGAGAGAGAGAGAGAAAGAGAGGAGCAGCAACGCACCGGCCAACAGGCAAGTCTTCAACCCCACAACTGCCCTCACGCTATTTCCATCTATAGGATGAGCAAAATCGAATCAATCTTCCGCTATAACACGGAAATTTACACTACGGCCAACTGATAGGCTCCAACCCCACAACTTTTTTTTTTTTTTTTTTTTTTTTTTTTTTTTTAGAGAGAGAGAGAGAGAGAGAGAGAGAGAGAGAGAGAGAGAGAGAGAGAGAGAGAGAGAGAGTTTTCCATCGATAGGATAAGCAAGGCACCGGCCAACAGGTAAGTCTCCCACCCCCGAACTGGCCTCACTCCACTTTCATCGACTAGATGAGCAAAATCAAATGAATCTTACACCATAACATTGAAATATGCACTCTTATGCGCGCGTGTGTGTGTGTGTGTGTGTGTGTGTGTGTGTGTGTNAGTTCAAGTTTTCCATCGATAGGATAAGCAAGGCACCGGCCAACAGGTAACTCTCCGACCCCGCGGCCGAACTCACGCTACTTCCATCTATAGGATGAGCAAAATTGAACGAATCTTCGGCTAGAACACGGAAATATACACTACTACACTTCTGTGTGTGTGCGTGTGTGTGATGAGGGTGATGATCATGTTGACGGTGGTCATGTGTGTGTGTGTGTGTGTGTGTGTGTGTGTGTGTGTGTGTGTGAGAGAGAGAGAGAGAGAGAGGGA